TTACAAAGTTTTAACATGAATAATGTTATAAACATAAAGCCACTACAAACAAAGTATACTAATTGACATACATGAAGACAATCCAATGCAAGCTCAATGATTTTGGGACTCTTGGTCTCAAATGCAAGGCGCAATGGATTAAGAACAAGTTCCGACTCAGCTCCTTCCAAACTATGCCCAGCACTAGCCAAGGTTGTCTTCACACTTCCACCTGATGCCACGTTTTCTGCCACCTCAGCATTATTTGAAGCTGAAGGTGCCACATCACCCTCCACTTCAGTTCTTGTGGTTCCATTATCGGTTTCAGGCACACTGCAACAACAATGTTAAAAATGATCCAGAGTGTAAGTATTGGTAAAATGATCCCGAGTGTATGGAAAAACTGTGTTCCTAATTGTATAATCTATAGAATTGTGGATGAAATCACAAATCACTGGTTGAGTTTGCATCCTGATCCACTTAAATTACATTATCTTAAAATAGTCATTATATCATGTTATAAAATGAACTATTGCATATTTCTACTCTCTCGCAGCTTAGGCAGTTAAAAACTAGAAGGTCAATTGACCACCTGACTTTGCTTCATGCTTTTTAGAACCTCATCAATGGCCTTAGCTCCACTTATTGCTTTCCAGAATACTGCTCTGAAGTCTACAAGAAATAAAACTTATACGGTTTAACCTAGAGGCAAACTTAGAAGCCCTGTAAAGTTCTATAATATACTAATTTGTCCTGAAGTAAATAAGCCAAGTGACTTCAGTTTGTTCTGAACCAAAGGAGCTAATGACTTCTTAACGTTTTAGAAAACACTTGTGTGTGGGTAGTTTCTTAACAAAGGTGGCTCTTATCAAGACCGTATCTTTCAACAATTTTATAATTGTATATAATTGTTTAAGTTTCTTGAATAATGTAAATAATTGTTCTAAATCAATTTTGGCCATCTTATTGAACTTAGTTTATAGCACATTCCATCCAGAACAGCTCAAAATTCTACAAGTTCTATTCAAGCACAATGTTTAACGTGTTTAGATATGAGATATGTTGTAAACCTTCAGAGAACATGCAAGCACTGGATTCACAATATTCATAACAATACTAATTCCCTCAAGTTTTATGTTCAAGAGATCTGTCTATTTTGGGAAGGAGGGAGTATATCATAAATCCCAACTCATGTATACATCTTTTTCCAATTTCCAATACACTCGATTTATATTGCTAGCATCGAGTTTTGTGTAGAGAGGCATTTCTCTATTGTTTCTTAATCTGAAATCATATGATGCATTTATCTACATTTCTCTTTCTCTTTTACTGATACATCCACTGGTTTAATTCTGTGTTACTCTTTCCAGACGCATATTCGAATTACATCTAAAGTTTGAATCTTATATACACGCACAGACAATGACGTGAAAACTTGGTTAGCAAGAAAGAAATGAAGTAAAGAGAGAAAATGATCAGAAGCAAGCAATTGTAGCAGAATTTTGGCAACTAAAAAGTTGCAAATGATAATGGCACATGCATCCTCTTATAATAATATATATTGTAAGCACCTTGTATCTCCTCCCTCTGAAGATGTCACTTTGCTGGCATCACTTGTTTTCACCTCTTTATTGATATCTTTGGAATTTTCTGGAAATGCAAGACGAACTGGGAATTAGTGAATGATGAAATCATCAACCATATAAAGAAACAAAGCATGGAAGAGTATCAAAATCCTATAGTTACAAGGATTATGGAAAGAACAGTTATGTAAAGCCTCAAATTCTGAATGGCCCAAGAAGAACTAAAATAACAAATACAGAACTAACTACATATGTAATGGCAAGACAACCAAAACTATCCCTTCATTCCCAAAAAATGAATTGAACTTTACCTATAACACAATAACTGAAACTAACAAATAGAACAATGTTGATGCCAAATTAGTACACACGAAATTAGAAAAATGTTGATGTTAAATGAACAATCCAGTCACTGCTTCCGGGAAATTGCGTTTTTGCCACACTTTCACTCCCTCATGTATTAGGATTGGTATACTTTTCCCACTCCTATAATATAGCAATTCAGGTTCGCTTGTACTTTATGCATTAAAGGATGTACTGTGTTGCCTATCCCCAAAACACACACACACCCCTTTGCATCAGAGAAATACTAGGGTCCATGTCAAAAATCATGCGCAGATCCTTTTCTTGCGGAATCGATGCAGAAATTGGTGATTGAAAGAGGCAATCAATTGACTCAACAACAGGCAAAAATTATTCAGTACTTCAAAATATAGATATGTAAACACGCATTGAAATTCAAACCGAAGATCTGGGATTTGAAGGAAACCAGAGAGATCAAACATCAAACCTAGATAAGATTGGATTGCAGTCTGCAGAGAGGTATACTTCTTCCCAGAACACTCTTTGAGCATGGATTCCAATGCTCGAGTAACAAAACCTCCTGCAGCACCTCCGGCCATCTTCGATTTAAATTTCTTTTGATTCCAATTCTCAATCGATCTTCTTGCTTTGATCGAGGTTAAGCCAGAGATCTCGGTGTTGAGTTGGAAGAAGAGTAAATGAGTTGAATTTAGTTGATTGAGTTCACGAGTGAGAGAGATCAAACTCTCGCGCTCTGAGATCTTGATGTCGATGGTGGATCAAGTTTTACTAAAAATGAAGGCACCAGTTAACAAAAAAGTGGAAATGAATTAATTGACAGGGTGCTCAATATTTTAGGAATATATGTTTTTTAATATAACATCTTAAATTTGATATAATAATTCGTATATTAAGTTGATATAATATATTAATTATTTTGAATTATATTATAATATATACATCTATTAACCTACACAATCTCAATCGTTTGAATAATCACTACCCGCAGATTACTCCGGAATAAAATTAAATATAATATATAGTTTAATGTTATTTATAGTTGTTATTGTTAATTAATTTTTAAATTTTTATTTGTTAAACGTTTTAATTTGTATCATTATAATTATCTAAAACATCAAATGCTATTTTTTTATTTTAAAGATAACAATATGATCATTTATATAAAGTTATTTTTAACTATTGTTATTGTAAGTTATTTTAACCTATTTATTTGAAAACTTTTAACGATTATAAAAATATCTTTACGAAATATTTTAGTTAAATAAAAATTACAATTTAGTTTTTGCATTTAGCACTACAATTTATTATTTTTAACTATTCACAAAATATTCTTTGAGTTTTTTAAGTGGAACTGAAGTTTATATTTAAGTTGACTTTGTAATTTTATATTTAAATTAACAATTTAAGTATTTTATCCAAACTGGTTAAAAGTTGTAGCTTTAAACTGATAATGGTTTACATACAACAACATGTTAAATCTAATAAACTAAATATAATATGTTAAAAGTTAAAGACATAACTTTATAAGTAGAAGTAAAGATATTATTTTAATATTAAAATTTAGTTTATTTATGATTACACTTTAGGTTTGATATTTATTTAACTTATAACCAACTTATAATCATTATTAGAAAGACACTATAATTTATCACTTTTAGCTATTTACAATATATTTTTTGTGTTGTTTAAGTTGAACTAAAATTTATATTTAAGTTGACCCTATAATGTTATATTTAAATTAACAATTTAAGTATTTTATATAAATTGTTCAAAAATTGTAACTTTAAAATGATAATGGTTTACATAAAAAAAACATATTAAAACTAATAAATTAAGTATAATATGTTAAAAGTTAAAAACATAACTTTATAATTAGAAGTAAAGATATTTTTTTAATATTGAAATTTAGCTAGTTTATATATGATTGGTTTGATATTTATTTAACCTTACTAACAAACTTATAAATCATTATTAAAAAGAAATTGAAAAGTCATGGGAGTTTCAAATGAATGTGATGAAAGGAAAAATGTTTCTTTTATAAGTATACTAGGCGAATACCCGCGCGTTGCGCAGAAACACCTATATAGTTGAAATCTTCACAAAGATATGTATTCTTAAATATAACAATAATGTTGTTGTTAAATTTGATATAATAATTTGTATACCAAGTTGATATAATATATTGATTATTTTGAATTATATCATGATATATACATCTATTAAAACCGCATAATCTCAATCGCTTGAATAACCTCTAGTCGCAGGTTACTCATTAATGAAAATAAAAGATAATATATTGTTTAATGTTATTTATAGTTGTTGTTTTTTGTTAATTAATTTTTTAAAAATTATTTTGCTTAAGGTCTTAATTTCTATCATTATAATTATTTAAAACATCAAACATTGTTTTTTGTTTTTAAAGGTAACAATATAATCATTTATATGAAGTTATTTTTAACTATTGTTATTATAAGTTATTTTAAACTACTTATTTGAAAAAATTTAATGATTATAAAAATATATTTAGGAAATATTTTAGTTAAATTGAGATTACAATTTAAGTTTTGCATTTAGCACTACAATTTATCACTTTTAACTATTCAAAAAATAATCTTTGAGTTTTTTAAGTGGAGCTAAAATTTATATTTAAGTGGAACTAAAATTTATATCTAAGTTGACCTTGTAATTTTATATTTAAATTAACAATTTAAGTATTTTATCCAAACTGTTCAAAAGGTGTAGCTTTAAACTGATAATGGTTTACATACAACAACATATTAAATCTAATAAATTAAGTATAATGTGTTAAAAGTTAAAGACATAGCTTTATAAGTAGAAGTAAATATATTATTTTAATATTGAAATTTAGTTTATTTATGATTACACTTTAGGTTGATATTTATTTAACCTTATTAACCAACTTATAATTATTATTAGAAAGACACTACAATTTATCACTTTTAACTATTCACAAAATATTTTTTAGGTTGTTTAAGTTGAACTAAAATTTATATTTAAGTTGACCTTGTAATGTTATATTTAAATTAACAATTCTTTAGGTTGCAAGTGAAAAATATTGATCCCTGTCCTGTATTCTATAAGAAAAAAATTCTCTCATTGTACAGTTGGGCCGCTTGTTGTTGCTTGAAGATGTAATACCTCGATGTGGTATGTCAACTCTGTAACCATCATCACCATATGGAAAGAGTAGTGGATATTGAAGAGGAAGGTATGATGGATGTAATTCACTAATACGTCGTAGAGAACCAGATGAAGTTTGAACAACAATATCTCTATTATCAATTGAATCACCAATATCTCCAACAATCAAAGCTGCTACCTCAGAAGCAGACGGTAGGTTGTATGTCCTTCCATCTTGGTCCCTTCTTCCAATAATTCTCAACTTGATATCAGCACAAGGATTTTCATTAAAACAATCTCTAACCATCCTATAAGATTGAACCAAGACATTATTTGAATCTAACATCAATTTCAAATCTTGTATAATATCATCATCAAGGACAGAAGAATTTGATGTAGATCGTTGATTTTTCTCCACTGCAAGTACCATTAACAGATAAACATAAGATAAATAAAGAAAGTATTACTGATCAATAAGATATATATTAATATTAATGTGATAACATAGAAAAGTGTACCCCAAGCATGTTCGTCTATTTGCGATTTCATTATCAGTATCGTATATGTACAACTGAGAGAATTTTGGTTTAAATCCCTGATTTGGTAAAAGGCTTCTGATACTATGATAATTTTGACCACTAAGTCTAAAAATGTATGGAGCATTGCCTCTATTGATTGAGGAATCAATTTTGCCACCCATCGACGTAAAAGAAAACATAGAATTGTACGAACGAATGTTCTTCATGAAATGTTTGCTTTTAGAATCTCCAGATTTAAAAAGAATTTCATAACTTGGAGGTGCATTCTTTAACTCTGGAAGTTCAACTTTGCCATAACCACAACATAGAGAATAATTTTCATTATCCTTTTTTCTACATTTGATAGATTCATCTTTCCATAATTTTGCAAAACATATTTGGCATACAACATTCTGATCACCATGATCCAAATAATCTGTGAATTAAGTTTTACATAAAAAGTTAATATTGTAAGTTTAGATAATTGTAAATGATTGGATAAACAACTGTAAATTTTATACTTTTTAAAAATTCACCTTTTGATATACCGTTGTATATGTTTTGATTACTTTGACCATCGTTGTTGTCTTGATCGGATGTCAAACCAATTATTGGAATAGGAGATAAATTTGCCCTTTTTTGTTTTTATTACGATTAGGATTGGTAGACATGACTGAAGATGATCTCTTTGTTACTGTAGATGAGTTGTTTGATGTGTCACCATTTGAAATTACAGAGTATTGTCGAATATTTGGTAACGGTGATTGAAAACTGTTTTTTGAAATATCCATCGCTAGGGAAAAAAGATTAAAAATATGCATTGTTAAATATCATAGAATAAAAAATATATATTATTAGATGAAATGGTACAATAAATGACTTACCATTGGAAATGTTAGATAACGGAGTTCTAACATTTAAATGTGAAGGAGGATTTTGTAAAATTGATTGTTTTGACATGTTTGCAGTTGATTCAGATGAGGTTATGTTTTTATTTCGACGAACAACTCCGTTGATTTTGTCTGTAAAAAATATGTTAATGAGAAATGAGTCAATATTTAATATGAAATAATAAGTTTTAATTTATATTTCTAAACAAAGATAAAAAATTTAAGAGCAATCAAGTATGTTACCGTTTGAATCCATTCCGATGTTTGGTAACGGTGTTTGAAAACTGTTATTGGAGATATCCATGACTGGGAAAAGAAGTTTGAAGGTATACAATATTAAATATGATACAATGACAATATATGTATTATAAAAAAAATATATATGAGATACCATTGGAAATGTTAGATAACGGAGTTCTAAAATTTAAATATGAAGGTGTTTGTAACATTGGTTGTTTTGACATTTTCCCATTTGACATAGATGTGCATACGTTTTTGTTTCGATTGACCACTCCTTTGAATGTTTCTGTAAAAAAATTGTTATAAGAAATGGATAAATTATAAATAAAAGTGTAATTGTTTGAAGGTTAGAAAGAAAGTATAAAAACAATGATGTATGTTACCGTTAGAATCGAAGCTGATGTTTGTTGACGGTGATTGAAAACTGTTATTGGAAATATCCATGACTGGGATAAAAAAATTGAAGGTAAACAATATTATATATGATACAATAAGATTGTCGATTATAAAAATAAATTAAACAAATAAATGACTTACCATTGGAAATGTTAGATAAAGGAGTTCTAACATTTAAATGTGAAGGATGATTTGGTAACATTGATTTTTTTGAAACATTGGCACTTGATGTAGATGCGGATACGTTTTTACTTCGATGGACAACTCCTTTAAATTTGCATTGAGAAAAAAAATTATAAATAAAATAACTTATAAATAATATTAGAAATCGATAAATAATATATGAATATTAATATTGATAAATACATATTACTTTAAAAAAGCATTTCAAATTAATTACTTTTATATTTAACTGATAAAAAAAATGTGTACATGACTTTAAGTAGGTTATCTATTAATTTCATTTTCAAAAGATGTGACATAGATGAAATTGAAAGGATTCATTTGGTCATATCTTTTTTTTATTGTCCAAATATAATTTTCTTATTCTTCTTTTTTCTCTAGCCTGGACATGATGATAGATGTTTCTATCTGAATCTGCATAAGCATATATATATATATATATATATATATATATATATATATATATAGAGAGAGAGAGAGAGAGAGACATAAAATAGTTATAATTAAGATTAAAAATTTTTATAAAGAAAGTAATAACATATTAATTGAACGTACCGTTAGCACCCGGGTTACTAACATTTGTAGAAGATAGAATTTGATCGACTGATGTAGTGTACATCGGTATATGTTTTGTATTATCAAGATAGAAATTATTTAATTTTTATCTTCTTATTAGTCTTGTAAACATCCATGTTAATTGTTAGTATCTGAAATATAAGAAAAATAAGAGAAAATATATTAATGGTAATTTTTGTACTGTAATATACTACAAACCTGTACATTTTCAGAATTTATTTTGCCTTTATTTTGTTTATATTTCAGATTCATTGAGGGGTTACACAAAGAAAGCTAAAAGTACAATCGAAATCAATACGAATAGAAATAAAATTTTATATTTATGTTTTTTGAGTTCGGGGGCATTTCTGTGACGTTATAATGACAAATACATTTTTCTATCAGTTTTTTGTTATATTTTTTCTTCTTTATTATTAGTTAATTGTATTTTGTATTACTTGACTGGTAGGTTCTATTTTGAATTAAGGGGCAGTTCTGTCATGTTTCATAGAATTACATATTTGTCATTGATTTGAACCGGTTTACACCAAAAACATATTAATCAAAGGGAAATAGGATATGATGTAGGCTTAAACAGAACCATTTTTAGTTGTTAATATTACTGAATACGAAATTTTCGTTTTTGCATTACCCTACTACTATTTACTTAGCATTAAACTTTAATTCAATGTCACTTAATATGTTCATCCATGTTTTATTCATGTAGGTTTTTATACAATCTTTACACGAAAAACGTCTATCTAAACATCAAGCATATGAAAGTGGACCAGGTGTAAAAAGTATTTCATATTTCCTAATGGCCGATGTTTAGCAGTTCGTAGTAACAACCAGATGTTTAGAGTAAAAAAAAACAATGATAAGCAGAATTTAAGTCGCAGAATTCAGAAGAAGAAAAGAATTTTCAATTGTACGATTAACACAAACATTGAGAAGCAATCATATATAATCATGAGAAACTTACCGAAGGAAAAAAGTCGGTGATTGAATATCTGAAATTAAGAAGCATAATTGAGATGCAGAGAGTGTCCTTTGGATTGAAGTATGTAACTGAATATTCGAAATTCAACTTACGTGAGATTATTAAGATTAAGATCCATAATAACCACACAATGTTGTAAAGAAATACTGATTATCATATGTTTCAAATATATACTGACAAATATATGATCAAATCGACATAATAATGAAAATTAAATGTAATAGATATGATTGATATGGATACCATAAAAAAATGCTCTTAATCAGGTAATTATATAATTTCCATATTGAATATCGATTTCTAAGTGAAAGAAATAAATGGTAAAATATGGTATTTTATATTTGTAAAATACGTTTTATCTGCATAATTTGCTTAAATGTGATTTATTTTAAGAAGTTTCGAATCATAATACCTGTCATAGTGGTATGTGTTTTGAAAAAAATACACCTGTGTCAAAAAACCTAACACATCACATGGAATGAGCCGGCGAGGGCATATTAGTCTTTTGCATATATATATATTTTTTGGCCAAAAAGTGTTATGTACTTTGTATTGATTCAGAAACAGAAATATATATTTAAGTTGTGAATGATCCAGATCAATATGAACATTCCGGATGCAATATTTGTAAATAAAAAAAATTGACATGTTATTTAAGTCTACCAGAGGAGACAATAAATTCACAATTATTTTGGAATGTAAAGACTGAAAATTGCAGAGGTTAACAAAAGGATTGACAAAGGCCAAATTTGACATCTGATGCTTATCCATTCTATCCACTGTTACACATTCAAATACATAGACATATCTCATGTGACAACTTCATTACAATGTACATTTCTAACATTACATATAATTTTTGAAAAACATATTCTCGTGATGCATGCACCGATTTCATGTGCATTTGATATACCACTTTTTTTAATTTATTCATATTTGATACATGTTTTTTCATATAGCTAATATACTCATAACACGAAAAAGAAAAGTACATTGCTTTATTTGCACATGAAAGCTAATTCTGTCGAATTATTTTTGATATATTTATGCATAATTAGAATCTTTATAATCATAATTGTTAAGTATTCAAACTTTCATCAGTAGACACACTTATGACACACATATAAAGGAAGGCTTAAAGTACAAAACACACATCGAACAAAAAGAAAAGTTATTGCTTACCTAAAAGCTTAACATCCATATTTATTACGCCAACAAATCACTTTAAAATTGGATTATTCTAATTAACGTCATAACCCAAAAAAACAGTTTTTTACTTCAGATAGAGATTAGAAACAAAAAGAAACCAAGAACTATGAATGTTTGAATACTGAACACCACGAAGAGCAAAACTGCCAAACAGAATCCCAAAAAAAAAAAATTCAAGAATATTGTTGATTCAAAAAGTCTAAATTGAAATCACTTTTCAAGTTTTGGTATTAAAAGACCTGTGTTGCCATCGACCTTGGAATTCAAGCGCGGTACTTTTGTAGACGAATTGACATTATCATATTCATCAACATCAATTGTATCTCCAACGTTTCGTTTTTTTACATTTGGGGGTGAATTAAACTTGAAAGGACTTGTAGCTTCTAATTTGTCGGGCATGGAAGGCGTCAAATTATCACCGGTCTGTGAGATGGCGTCCTTGAAGCAAAATCAAGAAATAGATTTAGTACGAAAATAATAACAAAAAATATTTGATAAAAAAAATTTATATAAAAATAAATAATGTAGTTTTATAGGCTAACCTTCAACGACTTCGTTTCGTGAGATGCGATTTCTATATCATCAGGATTTCCAGAATTACCTGCCTGCTTTAGGTGCATAAAAAGTATGTATTATCATTTGTGGGTTTAAGGTTTTATTCCATCAAGATTTACAATTAATTAGTAATTAGTAAAAATCATTAAATAAAAGTGTGCATCATAATTTCCAAAAAAAGATGTATATAAATACCTCAACAAATAACTTTTTTTCCAAAGCATTGATAACGTTACTATCAAGCGTATAGCCAAGTATCCCAAACCGATTGTAGTTATTGGATACGTTGAATCTATTAACATCTATCTTGAATGCCATCTTTTTATGTACCAGACATTTGAGGTCATAAGGATACATTCTCGGATTATCCCCAGGAAAAAATGTCTTATGTATTATTGTTATGGTTAAAAGCAAATTAATATTAATTAATACAAATAAAATGAAACAAATAATAGAATTTAATAAAACATATATTATACTTAAGTTATACCTGTTTGATTTTCTCTATGAGCTCACTTGCACGTTGTTTGACAAGTCTATAAGCATCTCTATCAAACAGAGTTAGTGTGATTGTGCCAGAATCATCTTGGACACGAATAGGTATTTTATACCTACAAAAATATCCCACATAAATTTATATTAAATATGTTTAAGTTTAACTATACATTATTAATGATTAATAATGTATTTAATTTGTCCGGTTAAGGTTTTTTGTAAATGTAAAAAACCTTGGAGCTGAAGAAATCTCCTTTTTTTTACACTTATCAGTAGAGCATTCAACAACCACACTTGCATCACCACTATCTGGACCGCTAAAAACATCTCTTCGATCAACTTTCTTTCCACAGTTTGAACACGCATCATAATACCAATCAATATCTTGTCGTATAGTAAATTGTACCAACAATGATAAATTTCCCGACCTAAAAAAATATAAAATACAAAAAGATTCATAAAAAAACAATGCAACTACAATAAATGAATAATATAAAACAAAATCACATTAAATAAACCAAATTATTGACATACCTCTTGTGGTTCTAGCAAATCGACAACATTTTTAACTTTGTGATTATTCAAAAAGTCTTCATATTCATTGTATGATTGGGAGCTATCAAAAGTCAAAGAAGAAGAAGGGTTTTGAATTCCTCGTAATCCAACCAAGCTGTTTTTTTATTTAGGAAAATAATTATGAAATTAGTAAAATTATTAAAAAGAAACAAAATAAGAATGAATAATTAAAATAGTTTGTTACCTATCTGTGAAGGCCACAATTTCGGGAAGATCAGCATTTATGAACATACGTGTGTGATCAAAATAATTGTTAACAGAAGGAATTCCTGTTGAAAGAAAATAAATTAGTCAAAATAATGAGTAATAAAAAAAGCGTAAAATAACGAAGGTTGCCTTTTATAAGAACTGTACCGTTATAGACATTAAGTCTTGCAAACTGCAAAATAATAACCACACGACCAACTTGTTTATGAGCTTCAAGATAAGAAATCACTTGGTATGCGAAATCTGCAAACAATGTGACGTTAACTTGCAAACCTCTGCAGAAACAGTAAAGGTTAAATGTTTATATAATAATAATAATAATAATAATATTAATAATAATAATTTAATATATAATATAATAAAAGTTATAATTACTCTAAGTTTCTGATTTGTAAAGTTAGCCTATGTTTCGATTTGCTAACATCACGGGAATCCAACTTGCCTAACGAAACAACTTCACCTATAACATCTAAAAAATGACAATACAATATGTCAAATTTATGTAAAATAAAAAAATTAAATATAAAATGCAATAAAATAGGGGGAAAAAGTACCAATTGAGATATTAGATGTAGTTGTCGCAGAGATAATGGTTTCAAACGATACAAAACAAAACTCATATTTTGTTTTGTATTGAAAACCAAGACACTCATGAACCGTTGTTTGTCCATGCAAGTTTAACTTGGAGGTTACATCACTTATTTTAAAAGTGTATTTGTTTGGAGCTATAGTGAAGGATCGGATGTAAATAGCGTCATCTTCTTTCAGTTTGGAGTCAAACCTTTGGAAATCTTTTCGGTAGACACTGGCTCTGATTTTTGTACCCTATTAATATATTGTAAGAATATTATATATATTGCTGACCAATTGTATATTAATTTATATAATTTGGTCAAAGTTGAATCAATTATTCGACCATGAATGAATTTGAATAATATTATTGGAATGAGCAAATACAAAAAAAAATGATTTTGAATAATGTTATTGTAATAGGATATTTTACCATTTCATCCATTAATATCATTTCAATTGATTTCACAACAGTGGGGTCAGATTCGGAAAATGATCTCCACAACCGGATGATACACACTTTTAGTGTGTAATCATCCCTCATATTGTCTAAGTCGCTGATGAAAGTGATATTTCTAGCTGCCATTGTCACTATAACAGAAAGACATACAATATTAAGGATAAACAATGGAAGAAAATTACACATAGAAAATGTAAACACAAACATAATTACAATTATGTCCCTAGAGTAGTAAACATATAAAAAAAGATTTGGCCATTACAATTAACAAAAAAAAGGCAGGATGAACGGGCAGGACATATTTGTCCTTTAGAATTAACAAAAAGATAAAATGAAAGTATGTTGCTATTGATTGTAACGTTTGTTAAAGAATGCATGCAGGGGTAGGGGTATATTAGTCCAATTTGATGTACTTCATAGTTAAAGAATGCATAAAATCGATATTTGAGTATATTTCATATTGATCAAATATAAATAAAGGGTAAAAATGGTATTTTACCAATAAAAAAATAAGTACCAACAGCAGGACAGATTTAACCTTTAAAGTTAGCAAACACAGAAAATGAAAGCATGCTGAGAAGTACAAATTTTTTATGGTTTCTAAATAAAAGCAACGCCAAATTGAAAAGTACAATTTTCCTATTGTTTGATATTGTTTGGTTTCTGTTTTTGGGGTTTTTTTTTCTGCTGGGACGTTTATTTTTTGTGGTTTTTTTGTGTTTTTGTTTTTTTGGATGCTCTTTGATGTGTTTTTTTTAATTTGAAAACAATGTTACCCGAAGATGTAAGATTGGTCAACTTAATTAAGTTATAAAAATATCAAATTAAGAGTATATAATAATAGGATCCAAAAGTGGATAAGATTGACATATATAAATAAAGGGTAAAAAGGGTTTTTAAGGGGTAGATAGGTTGTTAATATCATCTTCTTGGGCGTACATGTATATACACTACAAAGAGAAAACAAAAGACAAAAATGCCCTCCAGCATTTGATCCAGTGGATAGAATGGATAAGCATGAAAAATCAAAATTAACAACGATTGATGAAGGACGAAAATGCCCTAGCCATCATTATTGTTTGATTAGCAATCTGAAAGTAGGTTTTTAAGAAGCAGAAACAATTTTCGATTATGATTATCACACGCATACACATTGAGAATTGAGAAGCATAAACTGTTGTGTAAAAAACAACACAGAAATTAAAAAAAACACACAAGAAGATTCAACTAATAAACAAACAATCTGAAAGTAAGCTTTTAAGAAACTTACCGAACACCTCTTTTCTGCGATTGAGTGGAGGATTTTCGTCTGTGATTGAGTGGATGATTTTGGAGCACGATTGATGAAGGACGAAGGAGACACAATTTACCAAAGAAACGATTGATATAAAGGTTTGAAATATATATTGACTGTAATACGATTTCCATTGAATGCAATTGATAGCATCGATAGCATACCTTATATAAAAGATCGGATACCATAATAAGATGCTATGAAACGGGAATGTAATGAATTTTGGAGTTAATGCCCAGACCTGTTATAACCGAGTAATTCTAAAGAAAACAGGGCGTAGTATATGTTTTGATGCGTAGCTGAATCAAAAAGGGGTATAATAGGTATTTAACTTTGTAAAAATTCAGCTCTTTTCAATTGACACGTGGATTTAGGTTTTGTTTATTTTATTTTATGATTTATATTTTTTGGAGAAGTGTGTTTTATGTGTTTGTGGTTGTGATGCAGGGCTGATTTTCATCAACTTGCAAATCAAGGGAGTTGATGTGAAGGCTAAACATTTAGGTAAAAGGAATAGCAATTTCCTTTGTATATATCATCCTCCTTACAATTCTTCTTTCGATAACATTAATTCTTTACTTGTGTTTTTGCAGAGACAATGGACTTCAGAGATGGATGCAAAAATGAATGTGTCAGACTTCTTGGATCCAAAGGCCTCCTGTATTTCGAATATGTCTTCAGTAGAGAATGATAGAGATGTTTTGTGGTGGTTTGGTTAGCCATCGTTATTGACGATGACTGTGAAGGTGAAGGAAACAACGGTGATTGTCAGTGTTGTTGTCTTTGGGGTCTGCAAGGGAGGTGTTTTCGTCGGCGCCTTCACAGGTCAGCCGTTATTGTATTCCTATGTATCCATCAATAAATTCTGAAAACACATACAATTGGATATTGATATGCATTTTACGGTTGTTGGAGCGTCAAACACATTTCTTGAAGTTATTGTTCCTTATTCTCATATGTCAATCCTCCACTTGCTTGGCAAAGTGTGTGGCCCTTTTTCAATTGAAGGGTAAAATTAAGATGTAGTCGAAAATTATAAGTTTAAGATTGTATATGATTGATTATATATTCTTTTTTGGAACGCAGGGAGTAATATATGTCCAACTTTTGCAGAACCTGAAGATATTTATTCAGGTAACATCAATTTGAACCCATTTCACCCTTTTATTCTGATTATAAAAGATGTAACAAATAAATTGTGTTCGCAATGGGATAAATGTCTAATTATACGCATGATCTGATACAAATCGAGCAGGTGCATGTTAGGTGTTTGGTGAAATGTCTAACTGAAGCTATCCTTCATTTTTTACCCTTATTCATGACACTAGGTATGCTTTTGTATGAAATTCCATTTCTTTGATCATAACTCTGATCTTTTTTTTTTTAAAAACTGTTTTAAATTTTTGCAGGCAAAAAATGTTGATTTTGATGGTGATGAGATGAATATGCTTATGTCAATTAACCACTTAAAATTCACTTTCAATCCATTACATTAGTAATGAATTAACATAACAGAACTTGCAGTTGCTCTTGCACCTCATATTTATGTCAATTATATGTTTGACATTGGGGATATTTATGTCAATTATTCTACATGTGTTTGACATTGGTTTATTTTATTATTTTGGTTGCAGCCAATACAACTTTGGGCTGGTAAAGAGCTGTTTAGATATGAGAGATTATCCGAATCTTACTTTTACTGAAAAGAGTTACACAAACCCACAATGATGGACTTTACTCGGTTCTTCTTTGGGATTACAATTCGCATGCTGCTTAAGGTACTTTTTTTTCAAAATTCCACCTTTAAGAAGGGTAAAATCGTCTTTTCCAAGACATGTTTGCTGAAACACAGCAATATGTTTCCAAAGGGTAAAACACTCTTTTGGTTTTACAAGATGATGAAAGTTTATCAACCACTTATTTATCTATATTGTAATATAAACTTATTATTTTATATTTATAAATTAACAGGAAAGGGCTTGCATAGGATACCGTTATTAGATGAACAAACAGACAAGGTTAGATGAAATGGGGTTTATAAAATATTTTGAGATAGATAAGGCTAATTTTGTAATTGTTGTGTTTTTTGTTGCAGGTCGGAGACATAATTTGATTATACCTTCTTCATGTTTAAATTTACGAATGAGACAACTTCATATTATGTAAAGTTTTTTTTTCTTTGGTTAGCATAAATACTTTTTGATGAATTATGTTTTTTTTAATCTTTTTTTTTTTTTTTTTTTTTTTTGCAGTGTAATGTGGAAGAAGCTCTGTGAAGCTTGCTTATGTAGGGCATGAATCTGAGGGAACACCGAAACAATAATCAAAGTTTCTTGTGGGTCAAATCATACAGGTGGTTTAATTTTTAAAAGATTTGTTGATTCTTTACACCTTCTCTTATGCATTTTTTAACAAGTTTTCTGACTCTAATATGGTTGAGTGTTCAGATCAGGTTTCTTCATAAACAAGGTGAAAAAAGGAAGATTAAGACCCCATGAAAGATGACATCAAAAGTTGAAATGCTAAAAGATAGACAAATACTGTGCATTTGGCAACTAAACAAACCTCGGAAAGGAATCACGAATTCCAATTCTGCCAGATTCCTTTAGAATCCATGAACCAAACACGGTCTTTGTGAGTTTTCTATTTTTAAAATTTCACTCTTAATAAAATTTTCTATTTTATTTATTTCAACATATACGCGGAGGCTATTTTGGTCTTTTAACAAAAAAAAAAAAGGACGAATTCGACTTATACAACACTGGAATGCTCTGTGAAACTTATTTTTTGAAAAGTTGGTTTTAATTAGTATGGAAATGCTTTTGAGAAACTTATTTTTTGAAAACGCGAATAAGATTGAAGCGGTTCTGGAATGTTTTGAAAGACAAGGGTATTTTGGTCCAAAGTAAAAGGTTATAATCTTTTTTTGAAATTTTTTTCTTCAATAAATGAGTAACATGGGCGAATTTTTTTTTTTTCAAATTTGAACTCTTACACTAATGTTGATGTGTGTGTGTACGCTTAGTTCATGTATGTTTAATCGATTACTAAAATTTGATTTTCAAAAATATATTTTTTTCAATAAAAGAGTAACAGTACACATTCTTTTTTTGAAATATGATCACTTATGTTGCTGATGTGTGTTCGAGTATGCGTGTGTTTACCTTTTTTTTTTTTTTTGTTATTTGGTGCTGAGATTGGATCTTGATTCGGAGTTGAATTGCCGTACACCTAGGGCTAGGCATTACTGTATTTTTATGAAGGTTATTTTGATCCCCATTTATAAATACCACATGTTTTTATTTATTTATATATTTTTACTAATTTTTTTTATTTTGGCACAAGGATTCAATCACAGCGGGAGAGACGTTGTCGGTGCAAAATTACCAAAATACAACAAATAGAAGCGTTAAACTGAATGCATTAATACCCTTCAACAGATGTCGTTATGAGGTTTTTATTAAAGAGTATTTTAGTTTTTGGTGGGATATACAGATTGAGAGTTTCCCAATGAAGACTGCTTATGAGGTTTTTTCTATTATTTGTTGGGATATAAAAGAAACCAACGATTGAAAAGCAAAACGAGTTTTATTTACTATCTTTGTTGATGGTAATTATTCTACAGGAAGCTACATTGTTGAAGTCCGGTGCCTGGAGGCTGATTGCAGACATTATTCTAATAAAAGGATGTACGAGTATTTTTGCCTTATCTTATGCATGTAGACCCTCTCTTCTTTTGACTATCTTTCAGTTCTAGAAGTGAACGTATGTTGTTTCATCCATGCAGTTGTAATGAACGGGAATATAAATTAAGTTCATAGTGTTTACTATCAAAATAAACGACTTTTGTACACAAAAGAAAACCATTCTCTACTTAACACAACCCCATTTTTAAAGTGAAGTGAACCAAATACAAAACAAAAAATCATCAACGATTAGTTAAACTTCATCCGACCCAGCGCCAACGGTGCATCTAATTCCTACTAATTATTATTTTGCATACTAGACTTCTACGCTTTTCTTTTTTTCAACCACAAATACGTTTCTTTTTTTGTCAATTAACCCTTTGTTTTTTCTTTTTTATGAACCGAAAATATAGTTACATATTTGGTCCCTTCACTTTTGTTAACATGCTAGTCCTATATTATTTATAATTTTAACCAAATTTTTTTGGGTACTACCCTATTTATCCGAACCTGAATTTAAGTATAGGTTGGTTATCGGTTATGTTTTTATTTGGAAAAACCCGAACTACTAGGAACTCGAAAGTTATACCCGATCAACACCCTTAGTTTGAATAACCAGTTAATATGAATTATGTTCGTTTGATCCGAAAATCAATATTAGGTGCTGTTTTTTTTTAACAAATGAAATTTATAATTTGTTTTTAAAATGATATTGTAAGGTTTAGGATCAAAATATGTGTTTTTAACATGATAATTGTGATGTTAATGATATAAAATTATATACATATAAGAGATTTATCATATTTATGGACAGATAAATAATGTTATATTCGTTCTCAAAATTCTTTAAAATCTTAGCATATATTTATCGATTATTTTATCTTAAGATGATCATTAAAATCAAATTTGTCACATACGACAAAACTGGTTTTTAAAATGATAGTTAATAAGTTATAATGGACACTCTTTAGCATCATCAAAATCATACTTTTAATATGACAGTTAATAATTTATAATTTAATAGTTGATTCATTACTAATTTATAATTTAATAGTTGATTCATTACTAATTTATAATTTAATAGTTGATTCGTTAATCGTTTTGAGTTTTTTTAGAAAAGCTATATCCCTCATTTTTAGTGGATATTCATTTGTATAAATGTTCATTTACTAAGGTATGTTTTGCATACTATGACTTCTACATCATATAAAAGGGTAATTGTCACCACTACCACTAGATGTCACCATCAACCAGTACATAATCGTAACTATGGTTCATGAGTAAGACTATTATTATATTGACGTCCATAAATTAAGAAACAAGCATATCTATAACTTTTCTGTATGTAATTTAGGATAAAAATGCATGTCAAGTGGGGTGCATGCACCCCACTCAAATCGAATGTATCCACCACTCCCATCAACCATCGTTCTCACCATCAACATGAAGAAGGCAAAACTCAATGTCTCAATAACAAAGAAGATGATGTACACACTTGAACATTTGACATCATTTACGGATCATCACATCCTTAAGGACCTTAACACTAGAGCCTAGAGGTGAACATGGGTCCGTTTGAGCTGGTATAGGCCTGGTCCAAAATGGTTTGGTCAATGTTTTTGACTGCTGTTTTGTTTCTCAGAAAAGAACATTACATCCCTAATCCCTACACTTCAAATGAAGTTTATTAAATATCTACATGAAGCCCTTTATCTTTTACTTTGTATCATTTACACCACTTTAAAACATAAAACTTTTCAAAAACACCCCAGTATCAAATATGTTTACATATTTGATCCATATTAATATGCACTCCATCATCAAGTGTTTAAGCTAAACACATAGTTTAGTTAGTATTTTGTTTATCAAACATCTAAAATATCTTCTAGTATATTTAAATAGTAGTTTAATCAAAATCATCGGTATTTGTAAGTTTTGTTACTCCAATGTCACATTCGACTATGCTAATATTTTCTAAGAACATAAATATTATGATTAGAAGATCATTGGTGTTTCTGAGTTATATGGTAAAATGGACAGCTCGGACGATTGAGTTGGCCCATAAACATTTTTTGTTTAAGATTTATTAATTTAACAATTGATGCTCTAAATGTGTTTACAAAAATTATATTTAACAATGGAGATCTAATAATTTGAATAAATTGATTGACGAAGTATATACATTAAATTATATTTTTGGCTTAAATTCGTTCTATTCGTTCTATTTTTAACTTATATTGATAAATCATGTTGATTACCGAACTGAATGGTTCATCCTCTAATGGTTAAGAGAATATATGGTTGTTTAACCTTTCGAAGCCAGTTGCAAGACTTTTGATTCGTTCATAAGTTGTAACAAACGCTCTCAGTGTTAAATGATTCAAAGGTAACATCAAAATTGAACCCTTAAAGGGGTTAATGCATTTAGTTGCATGATGAAAAGCTCCACAAGTGCACCACAAATGTCCATCTGAGCCACACGAAAAAGTCAAGTTATAGAACAATTCCAATGGAATTGGTATCCGAGATAACCATCGAATGAATGGAATTCAACTATGTCCAGATTCCTTCAAATTCCATGCTTATGGTATTTTACAAGATAGGTGGAAGTGATCAATTTCCTTCCTCCTTTTTATTAAAACACCAAAATACTCTCATTATAATATATAAAAAATAGAAAATTTAATTATATGTGAAAATTAATAATTATTCAAATTTATATTTCCTTACTCTTTCATAAGTCCAGTTTTTTTGATAACATATGGAAAATTAAAAATTTGATTGTGCAAGATTTTACCTGCTCACAACATACAATACAAACTTAGTAATTAAAGGATAAAAACTGTTGATGTGTTTTTTGAATATCTGGTTGTCCATTATTACACATATGCACTTCATAACCTGAATTACACATATCACCAGTTTTAAAATATTTAACAATTTATCAAATGTCTAAATGGTGCCCTTCATATGAAACAAGAAACTTTCCACATTTAGGAGCAATCAAAATGTTGTTTTCACATTCACATTTCCACCTTGGATGCCACGGGGGCACCAACTTTTCTGCCTCCGCAATGTCATTTGAAGCTGAAGGTGCCACATCAGCCTCCTCTTCAGTTCTTGCTGTTCCATTATTGGTTTCAGGCACACACACACTATTACAACAACACATCATTTTGTAAATTAGACTAATGGTAATTTAGTAAATAATTTCTTAGTGTTTTAAAATAAACCTGTGTGTGGGTAAATTCTTAACAGATGTGGTTCTTATCAAGATCTGTATCTTTCAATAATTTTATAATTGTTTATTATTGTTCAAATTTCTTGAATCATAAATATTATTATTCTAAATCAATTTTGGCAATCTTATTAAAACTTAGTTCATAACACATTCCTTCCAGAACACCTCATGTTTGCTTTTGTGTTACTATTTCCAGACACATATCCAAATTACATCTAAAGTTTGAATCCTATACACACACAATGAAGTGAAAACTGCGTTAACATGCAAGAAATGAAGTAAAGAGAGAAAATGATCAGATCAAAAGCAAGCACTTGAAGTTAAATGAACAATGTTGTCACTGTTGTTGGGAAATTGCGTTTTTGGCATAATTTCAATATTAAGTATCATGTATTAGTATTGAAATACTTTTCCCACTCCTATAAATATAGCATTTCGTTCTGCATGTACTTTATGCATTAAATTATGTACTTTGGTGCATGTCCCAAAAACACACACCCCTTTGTATCAGAGGAATACTAGGGTTCATGTCAAAAATCAAGCGTAGATCATTTTCTTGCGGAACCAATGCAGAAATTGGGGATTCAAAGAGGCAACCAATTGACTCGAACTACCAAAAATTATCAAGTAATTACGAAATATAGATATAGAAACACGCATTGAAATTGAAATTGAAGATCTGGATTTGAAGGGAAGCAGAGAGATCAAACATCAAACCTAGATAAGATTAAATTACAATCTGAAGAGAGGTGTATTTCTTCCCAGGACACTCTTTGAACATGGATTCCAATGCTCAAGTAACAAAACCTCCTGTAGCACCTCCAAACATCTTCGATTTAATATAGGGTTATTGTCATGATAACCAAAGGAAGAGACTGACTCTTGGGATCAGAATCCAAGCAATTGTGATTGGATTCCTTCATCTAGTTTCAGGATCAATACATACCTTGAACACTCAATGAATAATACATAGACAAAACATACCACTGAAACTTACTCACCACTTTCATCTGGTTCTTGGTTTAATGTCATCTTCAATTTGGTGCTGCTCTTTGGGTTTGACTTAATCTTCAATCTGGTTCTTGGTTTGATTTTATCTTCAAACAATCATATTACTAATAGATGTTCTCTATAGAATCAACCACGGATCAATCACGTTACTAAAAGACACCAAAGGTAATTAACTTATAAAAATTGTCAGAATCCATTGGAATCAATCACATTACTAATAGATATCAATTAGAATGAATCATATGACTAGTAGATATTAAATAGAATCAATCACATTACTATTAGAAATCAAATTACTAATAGAATTGATCACATTACTAATAGATATAATTTCAATTCAAGATAAATTATCAAATCCAAGAGAGCAAAATCAAATTTAAGATAAATTATTAAAATCCAAAACCATTAGTAAAAGTAAAATGTAAGCAAGACCACATATTATCTTCTGGAATAACCCAAACATCATTGTCTCGTTCTTAATGGAGCCTTAACAACTCCAAAGGGAACAAAATTTCTTCCCATAGATGTTGAAAATAGACCAAGTACTTATGTCCAACTTTCTAAAGAATTTTCCCCGCCCACCACTTATCCATGTAGTTCACTAAAGTTTGCAAAATGACAATAATAATTGGTTACCACGTTTGTAAGTGGTTGCTTGGCTGACCTGGACTCCAGGTCATTTAATAAGATGCCTTGTTGGATTTTGGGGTTAAATTGAAACCTAATTCATGCTTCGACATATTAGAAGCATTATCTTGTAAAAAAGAAAAGATGAAAATATTTATTCTCTTGAGATGGATTGGAAGTGTTCATCGAAATGCAAGGCAATGTGTGCTGAATAGGTGCGACCGTGGAGATGAATGCATAATATGGACTTCATTGACTCCTAAAAACCTAGCTCATATGTTTTTAGTTCCCTAATTTATGGTAAGTGCTTTACATTTTGTAATTGATGAATATGATGTCATACCCCCAAACCAGAACGGCGGAAACGTTCGGGGGCGGAGGACGTCATGTAAGTATCACAACACATGCATTATAGTAATCAAAGTACAAACAACCATTGCATTAATAAGTATAAGTTTTACATAAGTGTTTAAACATTACATATTCAAACATCAAAGTAGATACGGTAAAAGACAAAAGACGCAACACGGTACTAAGCTGTCTTCTCAAAAGCTTCGGGGGTGTACCTGTCTACTGGATTCCTGAGAATACAAGTTATTTTGAAAGAGTAGATCAACATTTAAGCTAGTGAGTTCATAAGTATTTTAGTTATATGAAGTATACTCTAAGTTCTTGGAAAACTTCGCTGGTTCCTCCAGAAAATCCTATATTTTCTGACGTGATAAAATGATAACCAAAATAGTTCTCTCTGTAATTACTTAGTTTATACTAGTTATATATAACCTAATATCGAACGGACAGTTGAATGTGTGAATATGCCCTAAGCCCACAACCAAACAAGGAACATGAAGTAAGGCGGAAGTCACACATTCCACTGTCTATTGGATATTACTTATATATAACTCTTATGTATAAACTAAGAAATTATAGAATTAACCAGTAAAGTTCCTTTATGTTATACTAGTTTTGAGAGAACGATTGATTACGTTCTAGAAAATCCTATATGTTCTGCTTTACAGCTGATAAGTAGTTTTAATCCCATAAACCGTTCTATTTAAGTATTAATGTACTTATAATAAAGTTTAACATAATTATAACTATCCATAAAATTATAAGAAGGATGTTTTCCTTTTTGTTGGTGAAAAGTGGTTTTAAATCCCCATAAAACCTTACTGTAAAGTGGTTTTAAATCCCCATAAAACCGTTCCGTTTTATTTGTGGAAAGTGATTAATACAGTAGTATTTTTTAAAAATAAACTACTGAAGAATAACTACCCTAATATTTAGGGTTTAAAATGTGATAAAGTTGTAACCATGCTGGACTAGAATGAACACGACGACCTACTGGTATCGAAACTGAATATGTGACATTTGTCACCCCATGGCTGATTTGCCGGACTGTAGCTAACAGTCGGGATGTAGGATTGTCAGTCCCCTATAGATCTATACACACAATGCCCGCTCTCCCTCCAGGAGACTCTGGTTACAAGAATGTAACATAGCAAGTATTGCTATGTCCTGAATACGTACCATCACATTAGAGTTTGAGTAAAGATCGAATTATATCCTTTTCTTGACAAAGTAGTTTAGACCTCGTATACTTATCTAGAAAATAGATTTCTCGTTTGTTTCATAAATTATACCTATTATAATTTATACGTTCTTTCTGATTAGCATGATCTATCCTGAAAGTACCCCTTTGCTTAGCATGATACAAAGGTAATGATACCGACTGAAGTAACCTTTTATATTCTCATATGTATAATGTATATAATTAAGAAGGAAACGGCCTTCGGACAAATAACCCCACCTTAAGTCCACATCCAAACAAGGAAAAGGAAATAAGGCAACTCATTAGTCCTAAGCCCTTTAAGTCTTATTTATATACTTATACATATATGAACATGATTTTGACAATTATGAGTTAAAAAGAGTTATAATTACATTTTAAAGAGTTTAACAGTATCTTAAAAGAGTTTATGTGATTGTGAAAAGAGTTCACATGACTTTAAGTCATTATGAAAGTATTGGGAAATCCTTTATTGTAAAAATAAAGATTCAAAGCATAAGGAAATCTTTTATGTGATTAATATCACAAGTATTTACTAACACAATTAGATTGTGTTCAACTTGTATTCCCCCCCCCCTAAAAAGCATTTAAAATCATTTAAAAGGTAGATTATAGGGGTATGAACTCACCTTATGTTGGAGATTTGATTGCATATATGATATAGGGTGATTGATATGGCAAGTGAAGTCCCGAGCAAAAATAGATCCTATTTAGCATATTATTACACAAATATGTGTAAAGTTAATGAATATAACTACAAAGGTGTTTAGGAAACAACCTAGGATGCTAGAGTAACTCACCAAAAGAGTGTTAGAAACAAATTAGGAGGCTGAAATGGAGTTCACGGCCAAGAGTGAAGGGTTCACGGCCCTATGGTGTGATCACGGCCCAAGAACATGAAGAACACTTGAAGTGTTCACTGCCAAGATGATGTGTTCACGGACCTAGGATGGTTCACGGCCCAAGAACACCTGATGATCTTGAAGAAAAGGTGATGAATCAAAGATGGAATCAAAGGGTTTCACATGAACAACAAGAAAAGGGAAGTGTTTCTTACACTTTTGAGGAGAAAGGAGGGTTCATGGTTGATGATACTTGAGAGAGAATGGGGTGGTTCACGGTTGGAAGATGTGAAAATGAGGAGAAAATGGCTAACACTCTCTTATATATACGAGGGTTCACGGTCCGAAGGGTTCACAACCCTGAACCTCGTTTACGGTCCGAAGGCGGTGCTGGCCGATAAGCATTCACGGTTTGAGGTGTTCACGGATGAAGCCTCGTTCACGGTCCGAATTTTTGGCTTCGCATGGGTTTCTCGGTCCAACTTGTTTTACTTCATTAAGCATACAACACCTTGAATACAAGGTGTAAACACTTAAATAAAATATTAATCCACTCATTCAAGATAAAATAATATTTAAGTTGACTTTAGTTGACTGGAGTTTGACTTTAAATGACTCGGGTTGAGTTTTCAAGAAGAAAATAACGGGTTGTTACATTATCCCCCCGTTAGAGAGAATTTCGTCCCGAAATTAAGTCTAAAGAATATACATGGACGAAGGTGAAAGGTACTGACACTCATGTTTCATTTGATATTCCCGCTCTTTAGTGAAATCAGGTCCTCGCTATGTATCTTAGCGGACCTTCACTAATGGGGTAAGGATCTGATTAGTCCTAACGACTTCGGTGTCTAGGATTTCTACGGATTCTTCCACAAAGTTGAGGCTCTTGCTTACCTCGATCTAATCGAGTGGAATAACAAGATTCTCGTCGGACAAACAGGTTGAAGGATAAGGACGTGGAAGGTAGAGTGTATGTTATTGGATTCTCGAGGTAGTCGGGGTCTATAAGCTACTGGACCAAATCTAGTAAGAATCTCGAATGGTCTCATGTACCTTGGATTTAGTATTCCATGCTTTCCGAAATGTATCATGCCCTTCCGGGGTGAGACCTTCACATGACGAGGTCACCAACATGGAATTCCAAGGGTTTTCTCTTATTGAAGACGTAGCTTTTCTGTTTGACCCCGGGAGCTTCACGTTGCTCTCGGATTTGTACTCTCTTCTCGGTAGTTTCTCGGATGAATTCCGGACCTGCTGTCTGGAAATTTGACCTCTAGCTAGTTGCTTGTCACCTAATTTAGTCCAGCGCAGAGGGGATCTGCACTTGCGACCACAAAAGGTTTCGAATGGAGCAACTTTAAATGCTAGCATGATAAAGGACTCGACTAATTGGTAAATGGGTATCCCATGCTTTACCAAAGTCGATCACGTATGCTCTCAGCATGACTTCTAATGCTTGAATCGTTCTCTTATTCTGTCTGTCAGTTTAAGGATGGTAGGCTATGCTCATGACTAGCCTAGTTCCCAGAGACTTCTGAAGTGACTGCCTGAAATGGGAGATGATTCTATTATCTCAAATGGAGATAACAGATATTGGAACACCGTGCAGTCTAATTAATCTCTCTAACACACGATCTAGTTAACTTCTCTATTTTGCCTACTTCCTTAAAATTATAGGAAGTGCGCGGATGTGGCTAATCTAACGACTATCACCCAAAATGACATCAAGTTCACCTGTTGCCTTGTGTAACTTGATTATGAATCCCATTGTAATCCGCTACCATTTCCACTCAGGTATCTCCGGTTGTTGTAGTAAGCCTGCGGGCTTTTGCTCTGAAGTTCATAATAAGACTCATACTTGGCTCATCCATCATCACCTCGTGTATATGAGTCGTATATAATTTAGATCGACAAAACGTTCGGTTGGGTGGCTCTACCCCAAGTCCACAACCAGACAAGGAACAGGAAATAGGGCGGAATCACACATCCTATATCTTGTTGAGTCTGAATTATATGCCACTCTTGCGTATACACTTAGCAGCGATAGATTAACCTAATGAGTTCTTAGACTCTATTCTTGAACTTGACCTGTGGTACAAGTGGTCTTCCTCGGAGATCTATTGGGTATACTACAGGTGGTTACTGGCTTTTGAGACTTCTTTGGTGCTTTTTGCTTCAAGTTTTCTATCTATTGAGCAGGCTAGAAGGTGTGGTACCCCTCGCATGGGTACTTCTGAAGTCTAGTGAGAGATGATATGAGGGTTTGCGTTATGGATTGGAAGAATTTCATCTAACGGCCGATTAAGGAAAAGTTCTTTTACACAACATAAGAATTTTTGCATGG